CGAGTGTCTGAAAAATGCATCCTGCCAGAAAAGTTGCCGGCTCTAAGGTAACGCCTCTGGAACTTCCTCGTCTCGAGGGCAACGTGAATTGAGTTTTTTGCACCTTTGACTTTCGTTCACTAAAAAAGGTCGAAACTATGAGCAGAATCTACAAATGAGCTCGTGCTCTTGTGGAAGGGACGCTTAATCAGAAACCCACAGATCAAATCTAATGCAAGTAGTACTCATTTACATGTCATCAAAGAATATTGCAAGGGTATAAGCTGGACAGAGGTCAAACATCTAATAGGCGGCTAATTCATTTGGTAAATTTTTTCAAGCTTTACCAAGGACTACCTGGGATAGCTGATGCTTCCAAGCATGGAAGAGCAGAGGATATATAACCTGTCTACTGCCAAATTGTTTCTTAGGTTTCTAAACAAAGGGGTTCAAAAGTGTGAACATGCATATGCAGCAGGAATTAGCTCTAGCCACTGATTCTTACTTGCCTGTCTCAAGCCAAAATTTCGGAAGTTTTAAGCTGACTGATCTGGTTTTTTGTATCTGAGCGTTGAAAATTGCAACTTCCATCGGGGGTAAGTTTTGTTGCATAATGGCTTAATACAGGAAATAGAAGCGATCGCTGAAACATGAGCTTTATTCTCCTGATGTTTTGGATTCACACTCGAACCCTTCATCAAAGATAGTGACAGACAGGGGTGATTCGTGCACAGGAAGTTGCGGTATTTATAGTATACAGTCGCTATGCTGCTGCATACGTATGATAATTAACTATTCTCCCCTTCATCGAGGATTGTTGACTGTTGGTGCGTTAATTACTCGATGGTCGGCATACAAGTCGTCCACTGGTGAAATTTCATCTCCCGTGTCCAATGTTCGCATGATGATGTCCCCGCCGCCAATCACTCTACCTGAGCGAATTCTCAACACCAAATATGGAAGGGGGAGGTTATCGAACTTGCTAATAGACTGGGGTTCCGGGGTGTAGGGGTGTCAGCTGTGGGTTCACGTAATGGTCGTGGTGGTCGCTCACTTGCTTGCAGGTGAGACTGCGCCTAGCGTCCACTTGCTGGCACTCAACTCTCACCTGTGGCTCCACGTAGCTGGGCTCTGCTCAGCGGCCACACCCCGGGCAACCGTCTCGACCGGCGGGCTAAACCAGGTGAGGGGGCCCTGTGCGCTGTGCCGTGTGCACAGGGTTTGCGGATTCCGCTGGATGGAAGGTCGGATGGAACCTTGCGTCGGTACCGTCGTGACGTGGTTCGTCTTTCCACGTCGCTTGACAGCCGGTGACGGGATGGATCTCCATATCGACATCGCCTTGACGCGCCCACCCTCGCCGACGGAGACCGCGGCTTACGGCGAATTCGAGTCGCTCTCCACTACAACCCGAAGTCGTGGTCCCATAGTGGAGTTCGGCCGTGCCACAACGGCACATGGCAGCCCTATTCAGGGATGGCACTGCCAGCCCCCACGAGGGGAAGGGCCTAGAAAAGGTGGCCTAAACATTGCTGGGTACCACGCCGTCTCCAGGCTAGCCAGGGCCGCAGACGTCTAAACATGGTCGAAACAATCAAAATCGAAACAACAACAATACCAATAACAACAACAACCATACTCATTCTCCTCATCCTACCTCTTCTTCCTCTACCTCCGTCTATTCTTCTGCCTTTTCTTCTCCTTCGTCATCTTCTCCTCCATCTCCTTCCCGTCGCCCCACTCGTTGTCACCAGACTGGCAGGGTGAGCGCGCTCACTCTGGCAGCCTGGAATGTTCGTTCCCTTTTAGACAATCCGAGGAGCAACCGACCGGAGCGGAGGACGGCGCTAGTGGCACGAGAACTGGCGCGCTACAAGGTGGACATCGCCGCACTCAGCGAGACCCGTTTCTCCGAACAGGGCCAACTGGAGGAGGTGGGTGCTGGCTACACCTTCTTATGGAGCGGTCGACCCAGGGCAGAGCGACGGGACGCGGGCGTCGCCTTCGCCATTCGGAATGACATCGTGGGACGACTGCCCTGTTTGCCACAGGGCATCAACGATCGCCTGATGAGCCTCCGCCTGCCTCTCTGGGGAGGCAAATTCGCCACCATTATCAGCGCCTACGCTCCGACGATGACCAACCCCGACGCCGTCAGAGACAAATTCTACGAGGACATGTACGCCCTCTTGGCGGCTGTGTCGAAGGCGGACAAATTGATTGTCCTTGGCGACTTCAACGCCCGCGTCGGCACAGACCATACTGCCTGGAGAGGAGTGCTGGGTCCCCACGGTCTCCGCGGCTCAAACGACAATGGTCTGCTGCTTCTCCGCACCTGCGCAGAACACCGCCTCATGCTGACGAACACGTTCTTCTGTCTGCCGGAGCGAGAGAAGGCCACCTGGAGGCATCCTCGGTCGCGTCAGTGGCACCTGCTGGACTATGTCCTCGTCCGGAGGCGAGATCAGCGGGACGTGCTGGTGACGAAGGCGATCGCGGGTGCTGACGGGTGGACCGACCATCGCCTCGTCATCTCGAAGATGCGTATTCGCCTACAGCCTCGCAGGAGACCACAAGGTAAGCGACCTCCAGGTAAGCTGAATGTTGCTTTGTTGTCTTTGCCTGCTCACCGTCTCCATTTCAGCAATGAGCTAGCTCAACGGCTAGACAACCTTCCTATCGCTGCCGCCGCCGACGACGCCGCCGCCGCCGCTGCCGAGAACGCCTCCGTGGAGAACCGTTGGTGTCAACTGCGAGACACGGTCCAGTCGACGGCGCTCGCCGTCCTCGGTCGCGCTCCCCGCCAACACCAGGACTGGTTCGACAACAACGACGCCGCCATCAGAAATCTGCTTGCTGAGAAGAACCGCCTACACAAAGCCTACGTAGATCACCCCACTGATGCCACCAAAGCTGCCTTCTACCGCAGTCGCCGCCAACTTCAGCAACGACTGCGCGAGATGCAGGACGCCTGGACTGCTCGCAAAGCTGAGGAGATCCAAGGCTACGCGGACCGCAACGAATGGAAGAACTTCTTCTCTGCGATCAAATCTGTCTACGGTCCGCCGACGAAGGGCACCGCTCCTCTCCTCAGCGCCGACGGCAACACTCTCCTGACTGAGAAGACGCAAATCCTGCAGCGATGGGCCGAGCATTTTCGAGGCGTCCTCAAGCGCCCCTCCGTCATCTCCGACGCCGCCATCGAGCGTTTGCCGCAAGTGGAGACCAACGTGGACCTCGACCTCCCGCCATCTCTCCAGGAAACCATCAGGGCCGTGCAGCAGCTCTCCAGCGGGAAAGCACCCGGATCGGACGCAATCCCTGCTGAGGTCTACAAGCACGGAGGTCCCCTACTGATGGATCACCTGACTGCGCTCTTCCAAGAGATGTGGCGTCAGGGTGAAGTCCCGCAAGATTTCAAAGACGCAACCATCGTGCATCTCTACAAGCGCAAAGGGGATCGCCAAGTCTGCGACAATCACCGCGGCATCTCCCTGCTGAACATCGCCGGGAAGATCTTCGCACGAATCCTCCTCAACCGCCTCAATAACCATCTGGAACAGGGCCTTCTGCCGGAAAGCCAATGCGGCTTCCGTCGTCATCGTGGAACCACGGATATGATCTTCGCCGCCCGTCAACTTCAGGAGAAGTGTCAGGAGATGCGGACCCACCTGTACTCTACCTTCGTGGACCTGACGAAAGCCTTCGACACGGTGAATCGTGAAGGACTGTGAAAGATCATGCAGAAATTCGGCTGTCCGGAGCGATTCACTCAGATGGTGCGTCAGCTGCACGACGGTATGATGGCGCGAGTCACGGACAACGGAGCTGTCTCAGAGGCATTCGCAGTGACCAATGGAGTGAAGCAAGGCTGCGTACTGGCGCCTACCCTCTTCAGTCTTACTTTCTCTGCCATGCTGATGGACGCCTACCGCGACGAACGCCCAGGGATCCGCATCGCCTACAGGACGGACGGTCACCTCCTGAATCAACGGCGGATGCACTTCAAATCGCGCGTATCCACAACCACCGTGCACGAACTCCTCTTCGCCGACGACTGCGCCCTGAACACCACCTCGGAAGAGGAGATGCAACGCAGCATGGACCTGTTCTCCGCCGCCTGCGAGAACTTCGGTCTGGTCATCAACATACAGAAGACGGTGGTGATGCACCAACCGCCACCCAACTCGGCCACAGCCCCCAACGCGCCGCCGCAAATCAGCGTGAATGGGACCCAACTGCAAGTGGTGGAGAACTTCCCGTACCTGGGCAGTACTCTCTCCCGCAACACCAAGATTGATGACGAAGTCGCCAACAGGATCTCGAAAGCCAGTCAAGCCTTCGGTCGCCTCCAAAGCACAGTTTGGAATCGTCATGGTCTCCAACTGAGCACCAAGCTGAAGATGTCCAAGGCCGTCATCCTGCCGACACTACTGTATGGAGCGGAGACTTGGACGGTGTACGCAAAGCAGGCACGTCGTCTGAACCACTTCCACCTCAGTTGTCTTCGTCGCATCCTGAGGCTGAAGTGGCAGGATCGAATCCCCGACACTGATGTGCTGGAACGGACAGGAATCCTCAGCATCTACGCCATACTGAGGCAAATTCAGCTGCGCTGGAGCGGCCACCTGGTGCGCATGGATGACGAGCGACTACCCAAACGACTCTTCTACGAAGACGTCGCGACGGGTTCTCGCCGTCAAGGAGGCCAGATTAGCCGTTACAAGGATACCCTGAAGTCCTCCCTGAAATGCCTGCAAATCAACCCCACCAACTGGGAGGAGCTCGCACTCGATCGACCGGCCTGGAGGAGGACAGTGAAGACAGGCGCTGCGATCTACGAAGCCGACCGCATCGCTGCCGCCAAAGCGAAACGTGAAGCCCGCAAATCACAACTTCGCCCAGTAAGCAACGCCGCCGCACAACCGCTTCCAACGTGTCCTCGATGTCAACGGACATTCCGGGCTCGAATCGGACTTGTTGGACATCTTCGGAGTAACTGCGCCTCTCGAACGGCACCAACCATCGTCCCCCCGCCTGCCTCTTCCTCCTCCTCTCCGCCGCCAACTAACCCTGACAATTCTCCTGACCCATCACTTCCACCATCCTCCTCCTCCTCCTCCTCGCCCACTGCTCCAACGGCGGCCGCTCAGGCGACTGTCCCGCGCACAGCAACCGACACTACCACCACCTCCCCCGACTCCAGGGATGAGAATCAGGACTACACCTGCCCTCACTGCGACCGTACCTTCACCTCACACATCGGTCTGGTCGGTCACTTGCGAATCCATCGCACAGAGACTGGCGAACCAGTGCGTGAAGCACCAACCTACACCCACCGCACTCGCCTCCACTGCCCACACTGCCCTCGCAGCTTCAGGCATCGCATGGGCCTTTTCGGCCACATGCGCATCCACGAGAGCGGCCTTGACCGCACTCCCGACACACCCACTACATCCAACACATCCACCGTGCACACCCCCACTCTCGTTCCATCCGTCCGCGACACCACCACCACCGCCGCCTCCTCTGTAGCTGACACTGACACCGCCGACTTCTCATGCCCACACTGTCCACGCACATTCACCTCACGCATCGGCCTAGTCGGTCACTTGCGAATCCATCGCACAGAGACTGGCGAACCAGTGCCTGGAGCACCCATTTATACCCACCAAGCTCGTATCAACTGCCCACACTGTCCTCGCACTTTCAGGCATCGCATGAGCCTATTCGGCCACATGCGCATCCACGACGACCTGCGGTAGACAACCGCCGGCCACACCACACATTCACTCACTCCCTACCTCCTCCACCACCACCATCACCACCATCAACACTCACATACCTCATGCACCCAACTGCCACCTCCCACGCAAGTGGGAAGTCCGCATCTCGACTCGGTCCCCATGCGGCTTCGGCTGCACGGGTGACTTGAGTCGGAGACTATCCCGACACGTTAAGCGTCGTGGATAGGAAGGTTGTTGATTGATGCCCGCTCTCGGTTCACGCAGTTCGTCGCGTTGTGTGTGTGTGTGTGTGTTGTGTGGAGTGGCGGACTGGTGGGCTGGGAACGGGCTGCAACAGCACCTTCCACGGCACTCTCACGCAAGTGAGAGACACGCCGTTCAACCCCCGTTGTGTGAAATCCTGGTTTTGTGTGTATGGGGGGCCAGGTCGTGCCGTGGCGCGCGCAGTCATGGTCAGTCGACCATGACAGCCACCTCCCCCACACCCCACTCCAGTCTGCTGACCGGCTCGGACAGCGGCTGGGGTGTGGGAGTGGGAAGGGAGAGTGAGGTCGACGACTCAGCGCACTTTCTCCTCACTATAAACAATCTGACGCGCTTGAAGCTATCACGGTGCGCTAAAAGCCGTGGCTTGGAAGGTTGCCAACTGACGGGGTACCTTTTACCTCCTCCATGACCGGAGGCGGTCTGAGAGTCAGGCTGCAATGGCTCCTTTTTAATGTGGCCTTTATGGCACTCCCATCACAGTGTGGGATCCGAGCCAGGCGTTGGCGGCACGCCCAGGTGCGGCTTCGGCTGTGCCAGCCTCCAAATCTCTGTTGTGTTGGTTGAAATCCTGGTTATTTGTTGTGTGGACCAGGGGGTGTGGTGGAACGCCAAGGTGAGGATCCGTCCGAGCCATCCACCTGCGGCCTCTCTCGTCTCCGGTCTTCTTGACACTGTCTTGACACCGGGCTCGGGCGAGGGAGGAGGAGAGAGTGTAGGTAAATGCTACGCAAGTCTACCGGCACTATAAACCCCTGCGCAAGTCACCGTCCCTGCTCCCACCGCTGCTGCAACTGTGGGGCACACGGTGGACATCATCGAAACCGATGGTCGAACTGTCATCAGACTGTGGTTCCGTTAACCATGACTCAAGCAACGAGCGGCTCACGCGATTTTCATCTCTCGCGAGAATTTCAGCCTTCTAGAACTTAAATGTCTGGTCGAGTCTCGTTGAATAAGCTGCGAATTGGATGTTGGCGTCACTCCTCCTCACTGCCGCCGCGTGTTCGACGATTCGCGTCCGGAACAGTCTTTCAGCTTCTCCAACGTAGTTGCTTTGCCTGCAACTACACCAGATTCGGTAGACGGTACCAGTTGTTTCCTGCTGTGTTAGTGGGTCCTTTGGTCTCATCACCCGACACCTAATGGTTGCCTCCGATCTGTGTGCAACTCCAGCTCCAAGTGGTGTGAGAATGAGACTGACAGCCTTTGAGACGTTCTTTGAGGCCGGGGGTCGCTCGCCAGAAATTTGGAGTCGGTACGGTTTTGTCTTTCTTATCGTTTGTACGTGCGCCGGTTGACAAAGTTGTGTGGATGGCCATTTTCTTTGAACGCCTGTCAAAGATACTGAATTTCCGCAATCTTGTCTTTTCGTTCACTGCAGTGCGTCTCGGCACACCAACATAGTGCCATTGCGTAACTGTGGTTGTGGCTGATTGGGTGGTTAGTGTTGACGTGCAGTATCTGCGTCGTATTCGTCGCCTTCCTGAACACTTTGGTTTTTGTGTCACAACAATCTTTGCGGCAGAAGAGGACATCAAGGAAGGCTGGCTGGCCGTTTCATCACTTCTTCATCGCGACTTGTATGTCTGGGAAGACGTTGTTGAGACGTTCTTTGAACGTTAGCACCTGATCCCGTTCAATGATGACGAAGGCATCATCCACGTACCAAGCCCATGAATTTCGGTCTGTGGTGTTGGAAGACCAGCGACTCTAACCATTGTAGGACCGTCTCGGCTATGGGTCCTGAAGTAGGCGAACCCATTGGTTTCCTATTTACCTGCTCGCAGAGTGTTCCGTCAAACGCCCAAGTCCTTCAGCTTCCGAAGTTCTACCTCAGAACGTAATTCACATTTTTACTAACTTCTCATTAAGCACACACTAATTCGACTAGATTGTCTACCATCTTGAGGCCTGGCCTAGATTAAAGAAACAATTAAGTGCAAATGTTTTTTTTTTCACAATTATCTCTTATCTAAGACAGTCTTCATGAATTAGGGACTGTTCAAAAACAGTAGTCACATATCAATCATTGTATTTATTCGCTTGGGCAAGATCGCAGTTGGTAGCCAGGAGTGGGGAAGCGGACGGTGGCCTTAACCCTAATCCTTACCGTAACCCTAACCCTAACCTTAAACATTAACCGTTAATCGTAACAGCAACCTTAACCCTAACTCTAACCCTAACCGAAATCGCAAACGTAACCGTAGTTCTTAGGCATAGCCCTAATTGTAAAACCTAACCGTAATACTGAAACCTCAGCGGTGATTGCGAGAGCTGTTAATTACAGTACGCATATGGTCCCACGGCAGCCACGTGCTATAAATACTGCACTCCTTGTGCTACCACCACCTTTATCTGCGACTGTCTCTGATCGTGGATTAGAGTGTGAATCCGAAACGTCAGGCCAATAAATTTCATGTTCCAGTGATCGCATATTCGGCTTCTGAAACCTCATGTGCCTGCATCCTCAAGTTCAGGATGTGGCGGAGCAACATGCAGCATCTACCTTGAAGGTACGGGGGAACGCTGGGGACGCACTGAGGAGCCGAACCCCTCATAAATGGGCCATGTAGAGGCAGAATATCGGCGAAGCACGAGTCTATGAGTACGAGGAATCCTGCAACTCATTTGTACCGCTGACGGCCTGTCGGCGGCTCATTAGTAGAACGTGGTTATCCAGCAAAATTATGACGAATTTCGGCTGAAATACTGATTTCAGATTTCTGTCTGAGCCTGAGAGGACGTATTCGGTGGGGCACGGGGATAAACGCCCCAGTATCATAGGTGGCCTTAGGCTAAATTCCAGGGGCTTATGGCTAAGGACGAAACGGAAATAGGTGCTCTCCCTTGAGTTCTGTGACAAGCCTCCTGCAATACGGGAGTAACTTATTTCTGTGTCCGGTCGTCTATTCTGATTGATCTACGTTAAAGCCCTAATCTCTACAGAGATTAACTATCTCAGAGTTCTTACATCCGAGATAGCTGAATAACTGCACCGTCTATAACGAGCTACTCAATGTACCTTCATTTTTATCGTGGATTACGCCTCTGCAACCTGCCCTCTATTTTACGCCGAAAACCTAATTAGGCTGTTTGATAGGGCGGATCATGCGACCTGGTTGAAACAGGCTACAGTTGTATGAGGTGCCTTGTCTTATTGATACAGCGGCCAGATCTTCCTGAATTATAAACTTTGTCCTGTACCCTAAAAGACGCCCCCCAAGTCTACAATAGGCCTTCACCGCAGATCAAGATGACAAAAATAGGAATTAGTTCGCAGAACGTCTGGTGTGACTTTGACAGATTGGGGGGTTGATGTCATGGCGTCGCGACTTTTGGATGCTGCAGCTTTAAACCTCTCTAGCATTCTTCTTCCTCATTTTGCTGTTTTAACAAGCACTCAGAGGAGCAGAATTATGGGCCGGCGGATGTCCCCGACGTCTGCTGGCCAAAAGATATTTTGCTTTTCATTGGCTGCAGCTGATTGGGGTGACCGCCTAAATTAATGATCACAGTCCTGTGCACGTGTTAGACACTACCAAGCCGTCCACCAGAATGACCTTGAATCTTCCACCGGAGAAGGTGCTGTAATCCAGCATCCGCCCATCCGCCGCACCTGTTCTACCAGTATGGTAAATTATGCATCATTTTCCCGTTTTTGACAGGACTGTAGCAGCTTCCCACAAGAAAATCCTTATCGTGAGACCACAGAAAAATAGATTTAGGGCCTGTATTTTGACGCTTCATTGGGTTCTTGTGGAAAACTGAGTACCTTTTGGACATATAAGAAAGTTCCATGATGCTCATGTTGGTGTTAATAACTTTGAAGGAAAGTCTGCAGTCTATTCTCGCGTACAAACTATCATAGCTGCCGATTGTCTCCTCTTCCAGTTAAAACATGCTTATTCTAGCAAAGTTAATCCGGAGCATCTTCGCAGAAAATTGGTACCCCTTCAGTGCTTCTCTCCTGAATGGGTTCTTGACGCTTGTGACTGTCTTACAAGGACTCAGACTACAAAACTTCGTTCCGAAAAACATACTACACGTTGTCGCATTGCTTCACGAGGAGATTAAGAGGTTGGAAATAAAACGGTGCGTTTGACACTGATGCAGACAAAATCAGGAAATCCTGATCAATACAGTCAAAATCTCCTTAAATACGATTCATAAAAAAATCTAGTGTGTTCTTGAGTTCAGACACTTTGTAGCTACGAGTGAGTTTCACACAAATATTTTTGTAGAAGCACTTTTCTGCACGTGCAAGCGGTGAATTCTTCTCAGGAAGACAGTCGGAGTCGGAACCTCAATGCGGGCCGACGGCTACAATGGAGGAAAGTGCATCCAGTTCAGTTAAGGCTCCGAGAGGTTGCGTGCACTTTCGGCCCGACAAAGACAGGCTGACCAATCAGTAATCAGCCCGTTGACAAATGTGCACTCACTGTCCTACAGGAGTTGCAACTTCTGCTTCTTTTCGGGTCATGCCCGATCGACTTAAACCAGATCCCCCGTACTAAACTGACCGAAAGTTCGACCGTCGCATCCGACGATGTCCACCATATGCTGCACAGCAGTGTGGGGGCAGGGACGTGACTTGTGCGAAAATTTAGTTTATAGCGATAGTAGACTCTCACAGCCTCTACCGCATTCTCTTCTCCTCCCCCACCTGGATACGGCGTTCACATAGCAACTGATCAGGTTTTTGACTAGCAAAAACAATGGGGGGAGGCGGCAGGGGTCCCAGTGTGCGCGAC